ATCCTCCTGCACTGAACAACAAACTGTGCTTCGGTACAACGTTGCTGTCATACTTGGAGATCAGCCCTACAATCTGCTATGCCCTGCAGTTCAGAAAGGGGAGCTACACGGCAGGATCCACTGACAAAGCTGTTGGGCTGTATTCACAATTCAGCTGCTGATACATGATTCCATAACCCAGTTGCTCTGTTCTGACACTCAGTGAGAGGCTTCCTAAGGATAAATCTGCATAAAATCTAAACCATCACAAATCATCCTGTTTTATTCCCAAGTCCAAACACCACAGACACAAGATGGTGGAACTATAGCACTGCATTTCCTCAAGCTTAGCTGTGTCCTAATCTCACCTGCCTCTGCCACAGCCCAGAGCACCTCATCATAGCCAAGGGACACCCACCAGCTCCCCAGGAATCAACACAGCATTGGTGGGTGAAGAAAGGCACTGTGCTTGGATCTCATCATGGATCCTTTGTAGAGAGAAAAGGGAATATGTGACACTGAGGGATGTGGTCAGTGGCATGTGGGGGTGGGTTGACAGTTGGACACGATGATTTTAGTGGTCCTCTCCAACCTTGATGGTTCTATGATTCCATCATTTCCTCTTTGTCAACCTCAGCCAGATAGCACCTTGTTTTTACATACCTTAAGACATATAGCACTACTAAAAGAATTAAGATCCTCCCACTAAGCCCAAGATGCACCCAGAAGGGAGTTTCTGAAGACACTTAATGCTTAACTGAAAACTGATTGTCTTCACCTGTGCTTCTGGAACAACATCCAGAAATTGTTACCTTAGACCTGGATTTAACACCCAAACACGGATTACACTCATATTTTTCACTGATGAAAAAACATTAATGTAGACCTTGCAGGCCCATCCATCAATGAAGACATACTTGGATTTTGATATCTAAAACTCTCTGTACTCCTGTATTTTGTAATGGAAGTTGTAGGTGTCCTTCATTTTGTTTTTCCTGGATAGCGTTCTCTATTCCCACTGATGTATGTTGGAACCAGAAAACGCAGGGATTTCTAATAAGAGCAGTCTGTCAGGGTCTGCTATTTTCTTCTGTCCACAAACAGCTTCAATACAGATCCATCCATCTGGACAGTGTTTCCAAACAAGTCCAGCAATCCCACAGGACATGTGGTGACAGAACCGCACCCAAGGATGCTACAAAGAGTCTTTAGAACTTAGCAAAGAGCAAATTCATAGGTTTATGTACAAATGTGATTCCATAGCATCCATGGACTTCGAGAACTACTCTGCTGCTTGAGCACAGTCTTTGGCTTAGAAAAAAAAAAAAGTAATTACTTACAGTCATTAATGGTCCCACGGGCCATTTTGCAGTCACAGAACTAATTACCCTTTCAGCTGGATAAGGAAAAACGAGCCCAACTTGTGTTATTCCAGCTGTGAATGAGGTGTGTACCATGCAGGAACACAGGGAAGAGGAAGTTCTGCAAAGCACTGAGCTTTGTGCAGAGATTTCCCTGCCTCGCCTTGAGGAAAGGTTTGTTTCCCCATGGCACAGAGCGTGTGTTCCCAACACCTCTCCCCACATCCTGCAAAGTGTCAGACAACTCCATCTACTGCATGACAGATTTTCCCAATACACCTCCAGGAAACAGATCAACTGTTGTTGTTGACGTATGTTCCACAGTTTTCAATTAGCACATGTGAACAATTAACAATATGAAATGATCAAAGACACGCAACTACAGTGAGATTACTGCAGATTACTTATCCTTTCTTTTAAATCTCCAAATACAATGACTTGTTTTTCCTGTTTTGGACACTAATATTTCAGGGAGAAAAACTGAGAGCAAGAACAAAACTGTAACACAACGAAATTTTGAGCTGTGGATTAAAAGTCCAGCAGTGCAATAGATTTACCTGATGAGATGCCTGCAACTTTGTGCTCCAGGCTGTAGAAGATTTAGCAGTTTCAGGTAAATTCTCTCAACAAGGCATCCTAACAGGAGCTGTTTAAGTAGTTCCAACAAATTTCTCTAGCACTGATAAACTCTACCTTTTGGAATCCAGCAACTTTACTGCAATGCTTTCTTTTCTGCTTGTTGATCTTTTTTGTTCATATCTGTTACATAAATTCTGAGTATGACTTTTTAATTTTAGAGGCTTCTGCAGCTTGTATTCTTTTCCATAAACCCAAATAAAAATCTGGATGTTAATAGAGTTCACGATAAATTTTAACTGTTCTGTGCTTTAATAGAGTTGTCTCCATCACATGGAGAAATCAGAAAGAATTAAAAAGCTCTTTTACATGCATTTCCTTCCTATTCCCATCATTGATTATCAAGGAGTCAGCTACTAAATATTTTCTCCACCACATCAGCTCTTTCTACATCAGACAGTATTTGTTCTAACTTCTATTAGAAGTAGCATGCAAAACCACTCATAAAACTGCCTTCCTGCCAATGATATCACAGCCCAACATAACCTGTGCTGGGAAAAGGTGTCCTCTGTCAGCCTAAGTGAAGGACATCTGCAAGAATAAGTCAAGTTGGTCTATTTTACAAGTGAACAGTAATGCACACAAGGATACAGACAAAGAAAATGTTGCAAATAGATCAGCAGAAACATTTACTGGAAGTTTTACCAACTCCTTCAAGTCAATCCCTCCTTTCAACCTCAACCTGAAGGGACAGAGACTTAGTGGACACAGAAAAACCCAATTTTGATGCTAGTAAAAGGAACTGTTCAATTAACATGGTGATGAACCCAATTTTGATGCTAGTAAAATAAACTATACAATTAATATGGTGATGAAAGCCTGATTTAAGAGTGATAGCTGCTATCTGGCCACCAGAAGGAATTTATATTCTGTTAAGCCATATGTTGAGTAAGAACAAATTTCCACAAGATTAACATTTTTAAATGTGTGTTCAAGCATAAAATAACTTGGATAAAATATTAATCCCATTGCTGAGAACTGCTTACTGAGCTGTTTTCATACGGAATCACCTCCCTGCAGGTTCAAGATGGGCAGCATATGTAAATCTATATAATATTTTCATTATTTTTAGCACAAACATTGCTAAAGCTGACATTTGGAAATTATGCAAAGATCAAAGTGGGGAAGCAAGCAGCTCTCTGGCTGTGCTATCAGCACCTGCTGTTTTCCTCTCTGCTCGACCACGAAGACAGAATACTCCCAAGGCTCTGCACCTAACAGTATAAGAACTATGGTGCAGAGATACAAAGTGATGTAAGGCCTATTTTTATCTGTGGGAAGAAAATAGACAGCCATGAATGCAGACATCATAAGACAGTTGCACAATTATGCTGTGAAGAATGCATTTTTTTTAAGGAGGCCGTGTGTCAGTACTCTACACACAACATTAGCTTGAACATAGAATCACACAACTGTTATGGATGCAAAAGACCTCTAAGATCATCAAACCCAACCCCCTCCACCCCCACCATGCCCACTGACCACATCCCTCAGTGCCACATCTCCATGTTCTGGAGCTGTGCCACTGCATTGCCACTCGTACAGAGAAGAAATCGCTCCTAATATCCAACCTGAGATTCATGTAACAGACTCATCATTCAAGCATAGGTTCATGAGTCAATACTGCACTTGAACACCAATCAGAGAGTTAATGGACCACTGGATTCCAAACCTTGACTGTGCTGAAGCTAACACCAAAGGACTGGTCTGCATTTCACAGTGACACGTACCTGCAGTTCACTGGGCAAACAGGAAACCTGTCATGGGCAAATACTTGGAATTAACTGCCATGATACAACATTCTGAGACACAGGATAAGGCACAAATTGCTAACATGAGACTGCAGACCTTCATACAGGTACTTCAAAGAAAGACCAGAGCTGAAGGCTCTGGAGGTGGGACTTTTTGCTTGCAAAGTACCTGCAGAAAGGTCTACGAGGATACAGGAGTTAGAAATAGTATGTCAACAGCCTCAGGATTGCCACACAGAGGTCAAAACCTCCCCGAAAAACTCCTGTGGTGGACAGAACTGGGAAGGACAGACCACACCGAACCAGAAGCCACAAGGCATTTTCCATATATGATGTCTGGATGGAGAGAGGGAAAGAGATGCACAACCATAGCACCTCTTTACACAGAAGAATTCTACTTGTGTGACGATACGGAGAACATCACTCAAATTCCAGATACCAAGTAACACCCTGCACTTACAGAAAGAAAACTGAAAACCTCTGGGAAAACAAACAACACGCAAGTCAGCAAACACAGAAATATCCCTTTCTGATTAGGCTGAGTAATTGTGAAGTGAGAAAACCTAGGAAAACCAAACTGCCATTATTAGAACTACTCTGAGCAATCATTTATAATCATAGATTTACTTTAAGTATGAAAGACCCACCCTGCTAGACTAATTCAGCAGTAATGGCATAATTATTACATGAACAGATCAAAAAAAAAAAGTAGAATCCAGAAGAAAACCAGACACAGTGTTCTAGATCAGCAATGTGAAGTGCTCTAGAATCAGACCATCGGACAACTGCACCCCGAATCATTAAGCCTTGAGCACCATAGAGGAATCAACAAAGATTCATCACAGGAAAAGAACTCTCTGAAGTGTTGCATACAAGTGTGCAAGCTCAGATTTGGACCTAGTGTTTGAAAGCCCGCATCGTGGACAGCCGGATGGAGACACCTTACTACAGGAGCTCCCCAGTCCTGCTCGGTGGAATGTCAGGCCTGATGTTGTACCACGTCTGCTCTCCATTTCAGCAAGGTTAAAAGTGCTCACTGCTGAGGTCCTGCAGGTTTTTCCTTACACCCTGACACCCATCTCCCCTCTGCAGAAGCACTCCTCACTGGATACACCAAACCCAAATACTCTCTTCCACAGTTACTGGCTTGCTTCACCGAAGACATGTATCATCTACATCATTAGAACAGGGGCTGCTTCCCACAGCATCACCCGTGCGCTTCAGCGACAGTTTGTGACCAAACACGGCAGTGGAAGAGCCTGCACATATTTACCTTGATGAGTCATGGTGACGGGCTCCTCGCTGGATATATTGTTGTAGATGACCACGGCGGTGGCATTGTGCGAAGCTGCGCGCAGGATTTTCTCTCGGAAGGTACAGTTCCCTCGCTGCAGCAGAGCGATCCACTGCTTGGTGTTGGGAGGGACTTGGAAACGCGTCCGAGGGTCACAGCCCAGGCGATCTGCAACTGGAGGAGTCGGATGCACATTCAGACAAACGGCAATTTGCTCAAACAGGCAAGAGAGAAGAAAATGACGCTGAATTTATGGTTGTGCACTAGGAAGCTGCTGCCCTCAGGTTAATACAGCCCAATGCTAACTGCATTCCTCAGGTTAAAAAGAAAAAGTCTCCTTTATAAAGCTCGATCTCACCACTGAAGCTGTAACCATACGTCCAAGAATTAGGCTCACCAACAGACACTATTTTTAAGCCCAGTGCAGCGAGAACAATGAATTTCCATTTGAATCAATACCTGCCTGCAGGCTGAGAAACACAGGGATATGGGTCATGTGCTGCAGGCAACTACCAGCAGCAGTTTATCAGTCATTCTGGGCAGCATAACTTTTTTTTTCCTTTCTAATGCAATCACAGACATCCCTGCAGTGGGAAGAGTAACTAAACAAGAAGATTTCAGAGCAGCTATCTGCTGTGTGCATGCTGCTGCAAGGATGAGGGCAGCAGCCAATGCCAGCTCTTACACTGTAAGCTTTGCCAGCAAACACGATGTGTTCCTGTTGCTAAATGGGTATGGATGCTACAAAGGAGAAGTAACAGGGTTGGCAAACGCTGCATCTGAGCCCAACAGCATACAAAGACTTTTTTTTTTTGGTCCTTTTTGATGTAATGTATCCTGGAGCAGCCGAAGCCCACACAGATCTATGTACAAAAGGCACAGAGTGCAACGTGGAGAATGGTTTTCCAGTAAGTCAGAGCCAACAGCAACTTGTAATGCACAAGTATTTACCCTTTCAAATGCCACGAGTAAAAGCACTCTTGGCTACTGAAGATGGATGGGACAAATAGTGAAACCTCAGACACACAATTCATCTGGGTAATAGCTCTGAAAACTGCTACAGCTCCCTAGAGCGATACAGAGGAAGCACCCCATACAATTTTCCTTTCTAAGAGGCAAGTTCTTCAGCACCAACTCAGAATGGATGCTACAGCCTGGAGATCCAGTATGGCAGGATGAAGAGCAGTATGCCTATGGATAGCAAAAGGTTCGCTTCAGTGCAGTTGTGTTCAAGGCACACCAAGTAACCTAAATAACGGGTTATTCGCTAGAATGGAAGAGCATCTTGAAATGGAGGAAGCTTCTGAAAAAGCTCAGCTCCATAAAGCCCTGCGAAGGCACTATAAACTCCCAAGTTTGAGCTGTACAAATTTAAACACTGACAGAGAACGTGGCATGAGACAGCAAACAGCCTCTGTGGGAAAAGTAGCACAGATTTTCCACTACAGTAGAGATGAAAGCTTCTCGCAGCAGCGGGCAGAGCTACAAAATGCTGTTGGACCAACAGGATTAGGAGCTGAGATGTGCCGATAGTGAGCATCCAGCTGCACAGCAACACGCACAGCATTACTTCTGGTGGGGTGATGCAGCGTGTCCCAACACTGCTTTAGCCCTATGTAAGTAACACAGAACCGTAAAGGAAAATATGGTTGGGATTGATGAGCCTGCAGCTTACTCGAGATTTAATACAGAGACACAACGTGCTTCTCTCCAGGTCAGCATCCTATTTACCCCACACAAACGTTAAGCAATCCTTCTGCTTTTAACTAAACAAAACTCAGGAACAACTGCAGATAGCTCTTCCTGCTCTGGCCTGCCAACAGCGCCCAGCCCTACAGCACTGCTGGCTGCTACAGCAGCACATCTGCCCCACACCCAGCACTGGCAGCTGGTACAGCAGTACCTCTATCGGCCCTATAAGGGATGGATGAGCAAATGCTGCCATTAAGAGCCACCAGCAATAGCTCCCCACCACTGCACTACCTATACTCCACTGTCCAAGGTTCAATGAGGATGAGACTCAGACTTGCAAATCCTGGATGGTGACTGTGCCGGAATGAAAAGAGACTTCAGATTATATCAGAGCTATTCTAAAAGAACACAAGTGTATATAAAAAGATATGATCAGAAATCACTCAATTTCACAACAGCAGAAAATACAAGTTTACAGAAAGCTGCTTCCCTATAGCCATTCTTCTGTCCTACCAACCTGAAATATAAGGGACCGACTCCGTCCTTCTTTTCTTTGTGTCTAAGCATCATGCACACAGTGACAAAAAACTGACTTTACACTGAAATGGCAGCCTGCTGGTCAGAGAATCATAGAATGGGTTGAAAACGACCACAATCATCATCTAGTTTCAACCCCCCTGCTAAGTGCAAAGTCACCAGGCTACCCAGAGCCACATCCAGCCTGGCCTTGAGTGCCTCCAGGGATGGGGCATCCACAACCTCCTTGGGGAACCTGTTCCAGTGTGTCACCACCCTCTGTGATCCTCCTCATCCCTTCCAATTGCTTACCAGGCCCTTTAGCATTCCCCTATAAGAGACAGAACCATTTTGTGGTGGCAAAAAATGAAGCGAGCATCTCAGCTCCAGACCAACAAAGGCTCCATATTAGCGCTCTGCACACCCTGGGCTGGCTGCAGGCTGCTCCCTGTGCCCCACACTTACACTGAAAGCCCCCTGATCCAAGCAGGGCACTGAGGCCACAGCACCTCCTGTGAGCAAGGCTTTGCCTCCTTCCCACACAAAAAGAGCAGTGCCAGCATCCCACAGCCCACTAACTGCATTGCGTTACGCTTTTCTCCCCCGCTCCCTTTTTCAGGTCAGATACCCCGATCGATCACCTCTCAGCTAACGCTCCATTCTCTCAGACCAACAGCAGTCACCAGAGCTGCTCTCAGCTGAGCACTCAGAAATCCTTTCCCTCTCTGACCTTCAGAGCTGCACCACACCCGGCAGAGGCAGCACAAAGGATGGAGCAGCGCACAGCCCTGCTCGCATGGCACACCTGAGCACAGCACGCCTCAGAGCACCACATCCCTTTTTGTGCAGTACAACTGGAGCTCCCAGGAACGGAATTCAGCTGGGAAACTTAAAGCAGCACAGCAGCACTGATCCACCCCGCTTTCAAGGACGGCTCTCTATCCAATTGTGCACATTAAACAGTATTTTCTTTCAACACGTTAGTACTTCTGTTATTACTAATTGGGTCCTCACCCATGCCAGCTGCAATTCCTGCTTTTTCTAAGTTGCACCAATGGGTGACACAGGGCAACACCTCACTGCTGAGAGCCATGCTACCTAATTGCCCTGGCTATACTTGGCTTTAGCACCAGGAGGAACTCTTTGAACCAGGGTAATCTCGTTTCAGCTAAACAAAAGAAAATCAGGGTAGCAGGCAGTGCTGTAATAGTTAAGATTTAATCTTGTTAGCTCTGTAAGTGTACCACAGTTACAGCTATAAACTGAAAACCACCAGATTTGTCATCACTCAAGGACTATGAATTAAGCTGGACACTGAGATGAGGGGCAAAGGACGAACACATGGCACAACACTGTCCCTCCACCAACCTGCACTTTTTGATGCATTTGTTTGCTGCATTTTCCCCGAAGTTCAGTTTTGCATCCCAGACAGAAACACCACATTGTGCCCAAATATTACCCAAAGTTCTGCAATTGAAACTCTGCTTGGACCACACACTTACAAAACTCAGTGGCACTGTGCATGAGCTGTACCCCTCATTTGTCACCTCAAGCATCTGTCCCCTACCTCCACCTTTCCCTAAGACAGTTTCCTCCTTTCCATTTTATCTGAGGGTCTATAAAAGGCACAGGGAAAGCTTTGGTACGTGTTTTAGCCTAATCATGGTGAATTCAGTGTAAGAGATCCTGATAAAGGAACAGGTGACTGAAAATTTATTGTGTCCTGACATTTAAAGGACAGGTAATCAAAGAGAGCAATGACTTCAATAATTAAACATAAAGCAACAGGCATGTTCAAGAACGTGAGCTGACCACCACCACAGAGCACAGCGCTCCACCCCCAGGCCATGCATTACACACACAGCTGCTGACCCCAGCCCTAAGCTGGTAAAGTCACGTCTTTGCCTGCAGGTAAAGGATGCAAACACAGCACATGGAACGGGACATTTAAGATGTTTCAATTGTAACAGCTGGGTGCCAACTTGCATGCACAGAAATCCCAAGCAGTGGCCCACGGTGGGTCAGTGCCTGAGACCAACACTAAGTCATGGCATCACCAGGCAGCTGCAGCCACTGGGACAAGTGAGGGCTGAGCACTGGGCAGAGCACTACTGCTCCAGCTGCAGAGGCTGCTTGTGTTAAGTGCTATTACAACAAATACATTGCAAACAAGTGCTATGCTAATACAGACTGGCTGATAAAAAGGCATTATAGCAGTTGCAGACAGCAGCACTGCACTGCTATCAGAGCCAAATATAATAAAGCAGAATACAATCACAAGGCTCTCAAGTCTTCAGGAGCATCTTAACTAAAAGCATAACGTACTCCAGCCTCTTTCCTACTAAACACAAGGCTTTTAAACTACGTGAAGCCTCTCAGCAGAATTAAAATAAAAAGCCCCCTGTATGGCCATCTGTGCAGAACAATTCAGAACAGCTTTGCAGGAAGACCGCCACTGCAGTGTTTGTTTTAAGTGCCTTCTGTTGACACACGGAAGGAGAACGCCTCCCAACAACCCAGGGCAAAGTGTTGACGACTGCAACATGTCGAACCCACAGAATTCAGGTCTGCAGCTCTGTGATCTCTCTGCTGTGCTCGCCTCACTCAAACCGTTCACCACGTTACACTTCAACAGCAAAGTAGGAAATGCTCCTCAAAGTACGCAGAGCATCGTGCTCAGCTCTGCTCTCGCTGCTTCTGGTGAGAATGCTGTCCGCCACCCTCAATGCTTGAATCACACTTAAGTGAAGACCGTGCTGGAAGAGACCAGAAAAAGCTATAGGGGAAAACTAAAAAGTAATTAATGCCAGAAGTTTGTTTTTTGACCAATAAAGCAGCTGCTAAAGAAATCAAGTGGTTCAACACCCTGCATGAGAAAAGGCAGCAGAGCTAACCCTGCTCCCAAACACCCCTTGGGATAACTGTGACATGCCCAGAGCTTCCAGGACAGCCTGCTGACCTCACACAGCAGTGTGTGTTTAAGTGAGGAACATCAGGGAGCAGAGAAAATGAAAGGCTGAGCGCATCTGGGGACAGACGGCCAAAACCACTGCAAAGGGCAGGATTTAAGATACAGAAGAAAATCCTTCGGTGGCCAGCTTGCACCAAGATTTGTTTCTCCAGCCTTTCCCACAAACACGCTATTTTAATATGTTCTAATTAACACTTTGTAAAGCAAACGAAACAGAGCTTCAATGAAACCAGCAAGCGCGTGCGCTGCACAGCTGCCTCGTGCGCAGGAGGAGCAGACAGGAGGCTGCTAGATGCTGAAAGAGCATCAACATATTGTCCTGACCTTGATTTGTTAAATCCTCAAGGGGCTTTAATAATACAGCAGAGCTCTTCAGGAAAACACAGCAAAACAAAACCAAGCAAAAACGCTCTTAATATTCACCGCTCGCAGACTGGTTTTAATTGATTACATTGCCTCACGGAATGCATTATTCAGAGGCTGCTGCCCAGAGAGAGGCTGAGAGCACTGAGATCCATCCGGGGCCATTTCTGGAGGACAGCAGTTTGGGCACAGCACCACGGATGGTTATCAAAAATAAGATGCGATTAAACCACACCGCTGTGACCGAGTGCCCGCTCTCATTTCAGACCAAAATCAAGACGCTCAATGATCAAAACCACTCTTGTTTAAGTTAACGCATCATAAAGGCCGATATTTATCGGAAAGCAACCAAAGGGCATCGGCCGCACTCTGCAGCGACAGAACTCGTGTGGAAGCGCTGCCCAGCGCTCAGCGCCACGGACCGGGCCGAGTCAGGGGCGGACATCCAACAGCTCAGCCAACAGCTCGGCAGGCATCCCTGACCCACGCACCGCACGCAGCCGCAGCACGCGGCTTTCCGGCCGCAGCCCCGTCCCGGAGCGCGGTTTTGCAGCTCCCCCTCGGCCGCGTTCCACCTCCTCCGCTCCCGGCTCCCCCGGCCACCCGCACGGCGCGGCGCGGGGCCGTTACCTCCGTTGATGGGCACCGGGGTCACCAGCAGGCCCTTCACCTCCACCTTGGGCGAATCCTGCCCGTAGCGGCCGCGGTCGATCCGGAGCAGCGTGGGGCCGCCCCGCTCGGGGCTCAGCACCGTCACGTTGATGAGGGCCGTGTAATACGACAGCTGGCTGCCGTTGTCGTCGGCGCCGGCCGCCCACAGCCAGCAGTGCCCCAGCAGCAGCAGCAGCGCGGAGCCGCCGCCGCTCCGCCGCCGCCGAGCCCAGCGCGGGCCCATCTTCGCCTTCCGGCGGGAGCGCGTTATCCCATCTGACAGCCCAGGAAAGGAGAGAGACCGCGAGCGGGCGGCGAGGGGAGGAGAGCCCGGGCTCATGCCATGGGAGGAGCCAGGGAAGCGGCGGCACGTCCCGGCACAGCGCGGTCCGCCGGCCCGGGGAGGCTGCGGGAGCTCGGGGCGCTCCGGCGGCCGCTCAGGGCCCCGCGCTCATCCCGCTCGCAGCCCGCGCCGGCCAGAGGGAGGAGGAGGCGGCGGCTCCTTCGCCGCGCACGACTCCGAGGAGGCGCCGCCGCCCCTCAGCACTCGGGCTCAGCCACGCCGCACGCCCCGCTGCCCGCCCCGGCCCAGGGCCGCCTCTCCATGCCCGGCTCGGTTCCGAAGCCGGCCGCACCGCGTTCCGCTCCCGGCGCCTCGACTGCAGCCCGGCGCGGCCCGCACTGCGCAGGCGCGCTACGCCCCACCCGGCGCCACGAGGGCGAGAGGCGGGACTGAGGGAAGCCACGCCCCCACAATGTGGGAGCTACTGTGGGGGCGTGGCCTGAACGGGTGACGTCACTCCGGGCGCGGCAGGGCGCGGGAGGGTGACCGTGGCGTGGAGGTGTGGGGTCCGGCCCTGGTTCGGGGCTGCCCCAAAGAACCTCCGGAGCGGTGTTGGTCTGCTCGATGGTGCCGCAGGGAGTGCTTACAGTGTTGGAGCCAGCATTAGGGACAGACACTGCATCTCACGGCTCCTCAGTGCAGATACCAGGTCAACGGCGTTGGCCATTGGAAACGCGCAAGGTGGTTTAAAAGCACGTGTGAATGGTGCAGTGTTTGGGGCTGGGTTTAGGCAGCACGTCTGGTGCTAAAAGGCCGGCCCAGCAGCAGCAGCATGGCTCCTGTGTCAGGATGTGGCCGCTGCTGCCTCATTTACAGTTACTTATTTTCAGCGTGCTAAACTGGGAAATGTTACTAACACTGAGATGTTAATGAATACAAATCCTTTGAGATGCTGCGTAGCAGGATGCGATGCGTGACACTTCACCATCATTCTTACAAAGGGTTTGAGCTTCTCTGTGACCAGGAAAGGAACAAAAGAACACAACAGCCTTTGCAGATTTTGAAAGACAAATTATCTGAAAATTATTTATGGCTAAGAAGATTCAGGCTGCGGGGTTTGGGGTTCAGATATGTTCTAAATTTCTGAACAAATAGCCGTGCTGCTGTTCTTCTGAGATACAGTCTCCCTGGTGACTTCCCAGCTGCTCCGATAAGAGCTGTGCTTCCTTTCAGCATCTTACTGTGCTGTTCCCTTTGGAGGTGTTGTGGCACATCCCTTTGGGATGCACGTAGCCACATATGCATGTAAGATAACACCCTGAAAGCTCATTCTGTTTACCTCATTTAGCTGCGAGCAGCAGGGCTGAGCCTGCCCTCAGAGAGCCCTGTGTCAGTGCAGAGGAAGGCAGGACTGCCCGCCAGGCTGCAGCTGAGCTGTGGGATGTGCTACAGGCCTGTGGTGCTGCAAAATCCTCCGAGATCTGCTTATGAAAAGCTCTGTAGAAATGTCAGTGCAATCCAGGAAGTGTTTATGAAGCAGCAGCTGAACGTTCCAATGTTCTGTTTCCCCTTTGTTTTGTTTTTTTTTGCTGTTGTTGGTAAACGTTGGGCAAGGAGCCACACGTCACAACAGCCGTGCAGCATTGCAGCAAACCTTTCCCCCCAGCTAGAGGAGCAACCAGAGGACTGCTGGCACAGGGGGCAGCAACCTGGCATCAGGACAACTTCTAGAGCCACCTCCCTTTCCCCATAGCATCCCTGTGCCAGCCCATGAATACTGGCATACAATGCTTGAGCGCAGTTCTTACTGACTATCGGTTCCCTTCTTCCTGTGATTACTGCCAAATAGGGGCCTATGAGAAAGCTGGGAAGGACACCATTAGGGAGTGCAGTGACAGGGCCAGGGATGATGGCTTTAAACTCAAGGAGGAAACACAGTGAGGGCAGTGAGGCCCTGGCACAGGCTGCCCAGAGGATCTGTGCAGGGATCCAACGGCTGAAGGGATCCGAAGCCAGGTTTAGCACAAAGTTTAGAGCAACCTGGTCAGGTGTTCTGTGTTTCCATGATCCTTGTCCCCTGCACAAAGGTAACAAGAGCACTAGGAGTCTCAGATTCTTTGCTTTTACTGCATCAGTATGCTCAGAAGGACCTCCAAGCACTGAGGAACAAGGCCTTTGCTGGCCAGGCTCCCAGCACATTACCTAACTACATGTGTGATGATAGACTCAAACAGCAAATGGACTGAGGGGCCATGCAGCCCCAGCCTCCTCAGTTCCCTTGTCCAACCATGCTCCATCCTGGTGCCTGGTGACGGCTGCTGCAGGGACACAACGTCCCCGTTCTTGTGCTGAGGTGCAGCATACAGCAGCCACACAGCCATCTGCATGGCATCCAGTGCTCCCTTGGGACTGGGTGCAGAGCACTTCCCTCAGACCCAGTCCCCACGTGCCCCATAGCTTCGCTCCCGTGGCTGTTCCAGGAGACTTTGGCCACGCCATGATTTTCCTGCCCCACAAGAGGATCCACAGGGCGAGGTGCAGTGCCCTGGGGAGCTCAGCAGGGCTGGGAGAGATGGCAGCAGGGCCAAGGGTCTGGTCCTTTCAGCAGCTTACCCAACGTGTGTCCGGTGTCGTCATGAGGAAAGGCTGAGTTTCATCCTGGATGGAAATGCCACAAAGCCCAGCTGTTTCCTCAAGGATGTGGCGCATGCAAAGTGATGCAAAAATAAAAATAATAATGCCAGAATGAAGTTAATTGTATGGGGCTGGCCGGCTGCAGCCGGGCCCAGCAGCACCCGTGGGCAGCGGCCTCCACAAAGCAGAGCGCGGTGCCAGTTATGACTTTATTCATGTTCACATTTAGATATTACAACAAAACTCTTAATGACAAAGGATAACGAGTACGATAGGAGGAGAGGAAAGAAAGCAGTGTTCTAACTGGTTTGATATATAACAGTCAGCTTCCAGACACAGGACTCAACAGGAGCTATGAGAAGTCACATACACTCACCAGTAGGAAAGACTCGCACATGCAACACCCAAGCACTCACCCACGACACACACAAACCACATTGCTGTACTCACGCACAACCCATGCTGTAAGCTACTTGCTCAGAGGGCAGCCCATGGAAACATCCAATGCTGCTGCAGCAACAACAGGTACCAGGCTAAAATACTGTGATATAAATGAAGTGGCACTTGATACACAGGTTTTTCTCCAGAGACGCATGTGCATTCCTAAGCAGGGAATTAGATGCTTTGTTTTCATGAAGGAGGAATGTCCTCTCAATACCAATACCTTTGTAGTGTGGACCCAGAATGGTCATTTTGAAAGAAGAGACGATAAATAGCTTCAGCTGTGAATTCCAGTAAAAGGCCCAAACAAAACCAAACCGTGCACTGTGCACCATGCAGGCACAAACACCAAACCTGGCTTTTAGAAAGTGAAATATTTTCTTGTTGCTGTTTGTCCTTCCACAGCACCACTGCCTCATCTCAAACCAGAACAAATCCGCTTCTTTTTGTGCTCTTATCTGAAGACTGTAAAAAAATGCCAAAAATAATGCAAGAGTGTGGGGAAGGGTGTCAGGTTTGTAGGTTCCCATTTCAGTATTGTTTTAAGAGATCGAAAGTACAAATGTTCAACAGCTCTTCAGTATCTGACACTACTGTTGTTATTCACCACTGGAGCGTCTAAAGAGCAGCACATGGTTGTGTTAAGCTATGTCATTCATGCAAGGCTGTTGGCACTGATACAATAGGATCTGATTCTTCCCCCCACGCACCTCAAGAAGGTGTAAAATAGATAATAAACTCCTATGGGGCCGAATCATTTGAACGTTTAGAATCAGATGTCACTTCAGCACTTTCCCTGGCATGAAGCAGGGGATCTTTAACAATGGCTCTAATGAAGTAACACGTCTCTACAGTGATGCTCGTGAGCAATTTCCATGGAACCTAAAGCCCCAGCGCAGCTGTCCCAGCAGGCTGGGAGTGCTGACAGATCAGGAGTGCCGAGTGCCAGTATGCGTGGATGCCTCCATCTCATCTGTGCTGCGGAACCCTGCAAGTGCCCGGCTTTGTTAGTATGTTTTTAACCCTCGTTTGCAGCTACTTTGGAATTCTGCTTTCCAATTGTTAATTCACAGACATCTATTGAGCCTCCTGTCAGCTGGGGCATTGTTTCCAAGCAGAGAATTGTTTATGAAGGGCTGGAAACAAGAGAAAGGTATTTTTGTGGCTGCACATCACCAAGAGAGCAGCCTGAATTTAGCTCTGCAGTCTGTCACCTTCCACCTGCATGAACCCCCAGCACAGGGCACAGCTTTTCTTCTGCCAAGGGAACCACCGATGAAAAAAAACAGGGCAAGATGAGGGCAGGAGAATTTGGCCTGGCCCGCACCCTGCTGGCTGTCCTGCTTCCCTGGCCTGACTCCTGCATCTCCTGCCAGAAGCATTCTTACTGAGTCATAACAATTACTTAAAGATACTTAAATTCCTGGCAACTTTGGGGGACATCAGTAGAAGTTGGGGAATCAATTGTCACACACAGTTTCAAATTCCGTGTCCTGAGCCAGCTTGGCTCCAGTTGGTCTAGTTCTATGCCTCTAATTGCCATGGAAATCACAGCCATGTCCTCCTGCTGACATGGGATGGGAGGGGAACATTGGGCGCTCTGCAGACTGAGGGAATCTGAATGACAGCCATGCTTTTCCCATGAGCTAAATAAATCTCCCCTATTACACTTTGCAGATAACTATAATTAAGATTTGGGACAGTCACCAATAACGACTCACATCAGGAAACACATAATACCTTCTGTAAGAGAAATACAGTTTTGGAAAATGGTACATCTGATAGAATCTGACATCTTGTGAAGACACAATTTTCAAAGTCTAAACTCTTGCCTCTATGCAGAGGTGTAGCTTGCATGCAGAAACTCCCCAGTGCTGAGATACCCCTGTGCAAGGAGCTCTGTCAGCCACCAGCATGTGGGAGAAGAGAAGATGACAAGCTGTTCAGGCAGCTTCTGCACCCAGACTCCTGTGGTGATGATGTAACGGCTCCGTGGCTGAGCTCTTGGATTATGAACAGGATGGAAAGAAGTATGTGGAAAGCAGCGAGGCAGCGGCACAGAAATCTGTTGAGAGGGGCTGTGGAGGTTCCCCAGAGCCTGAATTCATGTGGTATCTTTTAGAAACAAAAGGCCCAAGTGATGAGATGGCTCCTCAGCAAATAAATGTTTTTCAGTCCTCCAGAGACAGCTGCATTGCACTGGCAGCTCTGCAACAGAAACTGGAGAAGAGCCTTTGGGGCAGAGAGTGCCTCCTCTGAGCCAGGGCAACAGGAAAGGTCATGGTAGTCCATCCAGGAGAATTAGGGCTTGTGCTCCAGCCA